TCAATTACCGCACCAATTAAATTACAAAGGGATTCTCGGAGTTCATCCGTTGAGATAACGGAGTATTTTGAAAAGATTTCTTTCTTTTCTTTTCTTTTCTTTTTTAGTTTATAGGGAGGTACCGAAAAATTCCTATAATAACAGGAATATGTTTTACTAGTTAACACAAAGGTAATTATTCAATATTGTCCTTTCACTAGTAAAATTCAATTGAGCTTGATAAGGATTAAGAAACATTCTTATTGTTGTAAAATTTAAGTTTTCCTAACGGAACTATCGCTCCGATGTTAGAATAAATTGGTGTTGGTATTTTCGTTCCGGAATTAATGTAATTGAATACAGTAAATAAACAAACAATGATTCATGATACTGTACAGTATATCGTTGATCCATATATGGTGATAAAAGGTGACTATATCGCTTGCCTGAAAACAACTCCGCGATACGTCGCACGACAGAAAAGTGAGCCCACTTTACGTTATTTAGCTGTATTCGGATAGTTACATTATTTATTTCCTTTACTTTGGTAGGGCGATGGATGCGAATTTATTTGGTCAAATTTAGGTCTGGGTCACGTGATTTAATATCGCGTGATAAATCATTCCCTTTTTTTTCCTTGTAACAATATGATATTATTACAGTATCGTATATTATCTAGTACCTTTTTTTTATGTGTAAAACTATTGGGCTGCGATTAAGTAATATGATTTTTCGCGCGTCCAAATGTCAATAAATTGTGATGGTGAATAATAATAAAATCCCAAGAATTTCAGATAGCATAGTTTTACTTGGGGGTCAAAGAAACGAAACAAAAAAATCAAAATGAAATGAAAAACGACTATAAATTATTAATAAATTGGTAAACGATCAATTGTCATTTGAATTTTCCAGATAGGAGATTTTTAATTATTAAACTTTATCGGAGGAAATTGATCAATAAAATCACACTCCTTGACCAAGACGTTACGCAAGTGCTAGTCTAAGGATGCGACAGACTCGCCGATAACAACCCCAACACTATGCAATAAATTATTTGGCATTCGAAGGTTAAATGAAAAGTTATATACAATATATTTTTATTACGGTAACTTATTGATCCTATTTTATTGTCTTTCTCTCTATTATTATTTTACATGACTCAGCTTTTTGTCAGAATACAGTAAATAGTGTCCTAACAGTCTTCACGCGATTTGCGTTGCATTTTTACGGTCTAGGCAAAAAATGCAATATTAAACCATATACTTTACTATCCCATGCTCCTTTAAACTTCTCTCACAGTCAATAGTTATGAAATGCATGTCATGAATATAATATATTATTTACTTTATCAAAAATTGTGTAAATATTACCTTAGTTTTACGCGTGTGTTAGTCTAAGGGAACAAGAGACTCGCTGTTTAATGCTAAAAATTTGTATAATGTCGTGGGTAAAAAGAGACATACGATAACGCGGTACACGTCGCGTTACGTAATTTGTGTGTTTATGGGAGAAACGGTGGGAAAGTAATGGTGGGAAAATTAGAATAGAGTATCTTATGTAATCATATGCAAAGTAAACAATCCTAGCATGTAATCAAACTAACCTGTATAAATATAACCATCGAACGAAGAGAAATAAGGCGATTAGCATTTAGGCAGCATTTACCCGAAACCACTTTAACGTCTAAACTCTTGCCTGTGCTAACCATTTCTGTCGTTGTTTACACGCCAATAACTTGCTCATGTGACTATACGAACCAGAGTTTGACTAGAAAGATTGGGAGAGTTCTAGCAACTATAAAAGTTCGAGTATAGGACATAAGGTGTAAAGTTAGGAAGCGAAACAAAGTCGATCAAATCGTGACACGCCTCAAGAGTTTAAACCCAACGTTACGCGAAGTTTACCAATCATTGGCGACAGACTCGTCGGTTAGCCCACGACAATAAATTGACTCTATCAAGAAACAAATTATCTTGTCACATCTACAGTCATTACTATCTCTTTGTGCCATATACTGTACGTGTATAATGTTTGACATGTATAAAAATTTTTCAACAAAATAATTCTTTATAAATGGATCCGTTCGTATGACCAGAACTAATGTTTTCGTTACCGGCGAATCTGTCGCTAACTCAGACTACACTTCGCTGACTATAATCCAAAATTTTGGATTATGTCATTAATACTGTAATCTCAGGCCTTAACCCTAAGGCGTGTTACTATTTGACCGATATTCACATTTGTCAATATTTTTCTCAGCGACTATCAAGCTTTTTTCTTGGCCCATTCCTCTAATCGCATTATTACAATATTAGGAATGTTTAACGGTAACTATAGTTTCATGCAAAATGTTTGTTTATTAATTAGGTGAGTAAATGTAAGTTTCTCAATTGTAGGTGTGGGTGGATTCGGAACTACTTTTCTAAAATCTATCGGAGTCCTACCTCTATTTATATGAGTATGTTTTTGTCGCATTCAGCTTGCTAACATTCATTACGCAATATTACGCTATTTCTCTCCCCGATCTCACTGCCTAGTTTAATAGTAACCTATTCATTTGTATACTAATTATAATATGTTGATTGCGTAATTATTAATTACTAATTTAGTTAATATTTTGGGTTATGTACTATATATATTATGGTACAGTAAATGTAATATACTGTATGTCTAAATAATAACATACGGATGCAATGATTGTCGCTGGTTAGTTTGTCGCTATCCTCGACCAATAACTCGTGAAACGACAGGAGTTGTTACGGAAATTCGTTAAGGCTTGAGGCCTGGATTTATTTAGCAGAGTTATTATTATTATTTCTTAAATCTTTTTATTTCTTTACGGCAACCTCTGACTGCAACTCTCTTAACGGTCAATACATGTTCTTTTCTAGTACGACAACTTATTCCTTTTTCGCGAGCCCCTATCTTTAACTCAGGTTGTATGGTGCGTAATGGTCGTGAGAAAGTATACTAGGTAAATGGGAACCATTTAAAGTCCAAAGGACCATCACTAACACATACAACATCCCCTATTTATACATTCCTTGGTTCATTTATCGTTTATACAGTACCATAACTATCGATCTTTATCATGCCAATGATTTTTGTCGTGATGCGAAAATACATCATGTAATCGTGACCCAAAAACTCAGTTCCTAATTGTTTGAAGGACATTAATTGTATTAACTGTAAATGAGTTACACTGTATAATAAAAAACTCCATTAAATTTGATACTGTATGCTTACAGTATGTATCACGTGATCGGAAGGTACACACATCCGGATCACTATTGCAGTACATTAGAGTGTCCTTCGGACAATTATTGTTCCAATGAAATTATTTAATTTGTAAAATCTAGTACTAATGCAAGAATATATTGTGGGGAGTTATATGCTCCTCTAGTTTATGGATCAAGATCTTGAAGGCTTGAGTCGTAAAATGGACGTAATCTATACGTAATCATAAACTTCATCACAAATTACCGTAGCATTCAATCATGAAAATCATTACTCAAAATTCAACAATTTATAAAGACTCCTATATACTGTATACAATATTTTGTATGTAAAAAATCATTACCACTATCTTTACTATAATGGTTATTCTTTGAATGTCAAGGATACAAGAAATATGAGGGATTCGCAGGATTTTAAGGATTTCGAGATCGCAATCGTCGTATTACAGTATGTAACTATATACGTAAAATATTGTAACGAAGAAATGGAACGCGACGTCAGTCACGTGATCGATTGTGGCTGTAATCATTAGGTAATAAAGGAGGGATAGAAAGAATTGTGAAAAAGAATTATGTAATCTATATTTAGCCATATAATTATGTCATCACCTATTACTGTATTCTATGTCCAAGCCACCATAGCCAGATGGAAAGAAAGAGAAGTACAAATGACATATAAAGTGTAGGAAGATAGAAAGGAAAATTAATAAAGACTCGGTCAAATAAAACACGCCTCAAATCACCCTTTAGTTCACCTACCTGACGACGGTTACGCGAATCTCTGCTAGAGTTAGCGACAGACTCGCCGTTACACTGTTACAGCATATACAGTACTTTATCCTGTAACGGGTGATTAGCGAGTTTGTTTAATTACGAAGCGTTTTTATTTGACTGAGTATTATTATCTTTTTATTAATATAAATCCTTATTCTTTTACACAATCTGTATTTTACATGGCTAAGGCTGCTATGACTCTAAGAGTGGAAGCTAATGCGAGGCTAAAACCACATCACATAATTTCTTTCACAACCCCCCTCCCTCCTTTCCTTCAACTATATAATCGCGCAGTGATCGGTCAAGTGACGAGTGTTTTCCCCCTTGCTATTGTTGCGGTCTAAATGGTGAGTCTGTCACTAACAAAATATTTCTCCACATAACATCAGGTAGGTGTTTACGATTTGACCTTTCTACCGACTATATTGAAACTCTTATTAACATCAATTCTCTTTGGCAAGCTCGGTTCTCTTGGATAGTCGCGTAGTATGAGTTTCGAGTATCGCGAGCACACGTGGAATGAGTAAATGGTTTAATTAAAGTTTTGAATTTGTTTATTAATGACGCAAAGGTTTGTTTCAATAGTTTCTTCTTTTATTGTTAGGATACACACAAAATGCTAGACAATTCAGAACATTAAAAATTTGAACGCTAATAAATTGCGCATATATTTATTCACGTGTCCACTACTTACATGTTTCCATTATTATTCTAGACTCTGCTTTTTTCTAACTATTCGTGTCGACAAGCTGATGTAACGTGGTATCGCGTCGCGTATCTGTGACACTTTTTCCCATAAGACCATACACAATTACATTTTTTTTTATATTTTTAACGAATAACAATTTGTTATTTAATTCTTATACGTAATTATAAGATTTTATTCTATTATATTTATGTACATCATGACCGCTAGAAATTATTTGAAATAATGATAAATATATAATAGAAGAAATCATATCTAAATAAAATATACGGTGCCGTAAATTATTATCCAAGTATTTAAACGGATCATTCAGATTTAGTACATGCACCCGAAATATCGCAAGATTGGCCAAATATTTGAACCCAAAGCGTTGACTGGTCTGATAATACGCCCAGAAAGGCAAAAAGAAAAAGGATAACTAGACCCGAAAAGCAAAACAAAAAACTCCGCTTTTTACCACATTCCGCTGTTTTTTCTCCCATTATGTGGGAAAGAAAAGCCACGATAGAATTTAATGACCAGATTGAGCAGATAATTGATAGAAACTTACTTCGGCAATAGAATCCTATTGGCGGAGTAATGTACGCAAGGATTACCGCGGTCCAAGGAAATATTATAGTTAATAAAGCAATAAGTGTAACGTAGATGGATATGATTTTTTTTTTACGTGGATCAAGTTGTCTTACTATTATTTCATCTGTAAGTTTATTACGGGGATCAACGAAGACCACTTTCCCATATATTACTCGCACGTAAATTGCTGGTAGTATCCATGCCAGAGACATGGGAATGTGAGGCCAATCCTGCTTTATGCATGTACCGACGATTCGAGAAAGTCCGGAAAATATGCCAACCATAATGTGGTATGCTGACGCGACGGATGCTAACCTATCAAGCGCTGATGCCTCGGCAATACAACCATTCAATATGTTCCTCTGCTCATCTGTAAGAACTAACTCTCGGGCATGGTATCCGAAAACTCTGTATGGTATAGGTTCATAGGTATTGTCACCTCCTTCGTTAATTGCAAATCTATTTGTACTTTCTCTAATCATCTTGAAACTGGTATGCGGTAACCAATACACACACATAGCGATTTGATCATGGCCTACGGCGCAAAAGTACATAAGGCCGCAAAAGGGCGACCCGAGGCACCGAAGTATCCATAACACCTTGGTGATTAAACCTTCGTAAGGAGTCGTTCCAACCGTCGCGATTGCTGGAAGACATCCCAGTACATATTGCGGGGCTGGCTCGCGTAATTTTATTATTGCGTCTTCAAAACCCATCTTCCTGGAAACTAGATAATATACCGAGAGACTAAGAGATTTAAAAGGATGTAAATTTTATTTTAACATTTGTTCTTTAAAGCTCTTTAAATAACTACGATACGTGTCACAGCGAAACAAATTCTTTGGACTTTTTCTACGGTGCTGTTTCATTGACCGCAGTATTGCTAGTATTATAAAAAAATTGACATTGTGATATTTCTTAATTTGGGTGCGATTTAAAGAGTTTATGTAAAATACATTCTCATTGAGCATAAAAATAAATCGTCTCGAGACTGAGCTCAATTCAGAATTATCTATATCTGAATAATGAAAGTCTTAAGCTCGATCATAACAAATCTTCGAGATTGACACGATCAAAGTTTTTCTTTGATCTGAATACTACATTAAGCCTAGTGCGTTTTGAGCTAAATTGCATGACAACCACATGTTTATGGTCACATTTTTTTTAACGCCATTATGCATGAGTGGAAATCGAAATTCCATGTAAAAAAAAAAAAAAAAAAAAAAAAAAAAAAAAAAATTTTTTTAACATTTTTGCCACTCGGATATTAAAACTATAATAATTATTCGTTAATGCTATTATCTTGATTCTTTTTTATCAGTCAAATAAATTTAAATCGATCATACGCCTACCTTCCAATTGTGATCCTAAAATGCCAAGATTTCCTGAGGGTGACCACTATTACTGTATCCAATTGAGGCTCACCGTAACCATATGCATTGCGATGATACAACAGCATGCAATGATTTTCTTTTCAAATATGGCCAAACAATGAAGGCATCTGAACCCTTTATTTTACCGTATTGATTGATACGTGTACGACGATCAAATTTTTGAATTCCGGTGAATTCTTGCATTGCATGCTCAAAAATAGTTTTAGATAATATCACTGTGGGCTATTTTTAAATACTTAATTTTAGAACTCTTGATAAATGAGCTTCGACAAAATGAAATTATTTTATTAGTTAAGATCATTGATTTTTTTTCTGGTCACCGATCTATTTTAAATCTACTGTAATTGCATTACTATTCTTTGAAACCGTAGATAACTTATCCAAATCATTTGCAAACTTTTTCTCGAAATCCATCCATGCCGTTTCAGGATGAAACAAATTATTAGGGAGGCATTAACCTTACAAGGTTAAATCAATTCTTTCTTTTTCCTTGCTCGAAGATTTTTTATCAGAAATATGCATAACAGGTGATAGTTAACATGCATAACAATATATCTTAACGTCTTGATATTAAGTATGTAGTGATTATTTTGCTATATTAATAAATATTGTGAGAAATGTTTACTCAACATTAAAGAAAAAAAGATTATATACTATACTATAGTATATAATATTTAATTTCTCTTGTGCTGAGAAAGTTTGTTTTGTTTTTGAAATGTTTATTGTAAAGGATTTTGAAAAGTTTCTTTTAATTAATAGGTTTTTAAAGAATTTGATTAATGTTTTAGAAAATTTGATGTGAATAATATATTCTTTAATAAGTTTTTGAAAAAAAAAATACTTTTAAGTTTTCTGATTTTAAAAATAAATTACCATTATCAATCTTGGAGATATTTATTTTGATTTTATTTTGACCTAAATATATTTTAAAAATCCAATAAACTTCAAGAAAAGATATTCATTGGATTTGAATCTAACTATCTGGAATTTTGAAGAATTAAAGTACTTTGATTATATATGTTTACACTATATATACTGTATTTGATAAATGACAATTTTTTATTGTAATATATAAAAAATTTATATATGAAAAAAAATTTACATCTTTTAATTTACATGAGTTAAATACTAACATATTAAAATAGTCATCTAAACTATATTATAAAGAAATTTTTAAATAAATATTATATCTATATAGTTGCATAACAAATTATACAATTTTACAAAAATAAATAAAAAAAAAACCAATATATATTGTTGGCCCAGAAAACGGTGAGTCAGTTGCTTCACCAGTCCAATGTTTGCATAACTAAGGTAAGTCGAGGCACATAAGATTGATTTAGCTGGGGCTTTTTGTTATTAACAAGCTTTTCTTTTCTTTTCTGACACCAGCTCTTCTCTTGATAATTCTGGGCTATATTCTATAGCGACAATTATTCTTCCTTGTATAGTGTATACTTGAAAAGATAAGTTGTTAATTACAATATTCCTATTTGGCATTTCAATTTTTATTATTACTCTTTTTTTTTCAATTTCAATTTCTTTTTTTGCTCATATATTGGCATTACTATTTATATTGTTGCTACTACTAGAAAAACAATTAAGAAAAAATAGACTATCGGGGCTAAAACAAACTATGGGTAAGTTATGTAAACTTTGATAACTATATTTTCTATGCTGATTATTAATGCTATTTCACATTTTCAAGGTACGCAATGCAATAGTCATGGTATGTGAATATATCCTATGACTTTTATAGAACTAACAATATTAATAACTAATGGATAGCTTTTTATGTTACAATTTCAATTAATATAACAATAAGTTTAAAAATTTTAGTATTGATATGTACTTTTTAGTAAATATTTAAAAATTGTAATTTTTAATTACATAAATTATAAAATTTAAGAACTTCAAAAGTCAAATTAAATATAACTTTAATATTTTCTAGCAAATATTTCAAGAAATTTAATTAACTTAAATTATCAAATTTGAAACAAAATTATCAAATAAAACTAATTCTTACATGTTTAATAAGTTATTAAAAATTACAATTGTATTATATATTAGTATTCCAATTATTAGTATCTTTTGAATTATTTATTTAATATTAACATATAATATATTATTATTTTTATTTTTATTTTTATTATGCTTGATATATTTTATGAAAAAAACAACATCTCTTATATGTTGGTATGATAAGTTGAATACTAGCTTGCCTATAATAACCATATAACTAATATTAAAAAGAAAGTTTAAAACAATATAAAATTGAAATAATAAATAATAATATATTTATTAAAAATGATCTGTTGGTCTGTAATGTAGTAGTTAACACTTCACAGATCAAATCACAAGATACCAGTTCAATCTCATGTAAGGACGGTTGAATAAAATTAATATGGTATCTGGCACCATAACCTGTATAAGCGCTGTTTCTCATGAGAAGCTGTTTTATACACTGATCTAGTGGGCATTGAGATTGTAATTTCTAGAAAAGGTGTCATGGCATAACAATCATCTGGTTGGTGCTATAATGATTACTGGAAGTTGCAAGATATATGAAATATTTAATTTAATACAAGATGGTTTAATGATTACTTCCTATAATACCTGGTGTCTTTTCTACAAAAAAGTTATTTGAAAGTTCTATCCCAATCCAATAAGAAGTCCACTCCTGTACTGCTTATTCTGAGAAGACATCTAGTATTCCCAAGTAGCCATAAAAAAATTACTATAAGTTATAAATCTATAGTTATAAGTATTTTGAACATCCCTAAGCTATAACAGAAAGACAGGAATTAAATAGTCAAAGGCCAGCTGCAGGTGATACAGAGTGGTAAGATAATCTTGAATAGGATTTTATTTATCAAAAAAAGGTATTATCCCCCAGTTCCCCACCTTTCCTTCTCTTTAAACACATCCTTAAATAAAACTTAAATAATGCAGTGATGCTAAACATACTAGTGGAGTTTTGGCACACTAGTCTTGATTACTTTGCTATAATCCAGATTATAGAATAAACCAAAAATCCAGAGCTGGCATTTGGAGAAATCTTCATGTAGTTCGATATACAAAATAAATTAAAAATTATAACAGTGGTCATGTATTTAATATGTAATCAATTTGCAAATCTTTACAATAATAAAGTATACTGAGCAATGGCTCCAGTTAGTGAAAGTTAAAAAAAAATAAAATAAAAAATTAACTTTTTTTTAATTATTCAAAATATCAATAAAATATTATACAAAAAGTTAATTTTTTTTATTTATTCCAGTTTCAAATTAAATTCAAGAGTTAACAATATTATTAATATACTATTATACTTTTCTAAAAAACTCTTCAATTAACAAATTCTAGTTAAAAAGCAATATCAAATAGTACAAAAAGATTACTAGCATTATTATAATAGCTAAAAGTTTATTATTTTTAAAAATATTGTTAGCAGGGAAATTGCTTAGATAAGGTCTGGAGACATGACATCCGTGTTATGCACCTAATCAAGACAATGAAAATACCTTAGTAATTACTCAGATTATGTAATCAGAAGTTTAAATAGTTTATGAGTTATAGTGATAGTCTTATAGCAGATAGTCATGGTAGTATAAATAGGAGTGACAAAAGCGCAAAAGAAAAAAAGGAAAAAATTCAGACAATAATAACAATAATGCTAACTCTAACTTAATTTAGTAATAATAAATTATTCCTCTGATAGAAGTGTGAAACAGTCGTGCGAATGTTAATTAAAGATTATTAAAAGTGATGGTGTAATAGATGCACTTAAAAAGGAAATTGCTAATTAATCCCTTCTTCTAGAGTAACATCACTGTGAGATGATTATTCTGGTAGTCACTAAAAGGGATAGTGACTCGAACAATCGACAAAGGGTGACAAAGGAAAGAAGAAGGTTAATTATAGATTCAAGATCAGCTAAGTCAAATCCACATCTCAAGTAGAGAAAAGAAAAATAACCTACCCTGATGTTATGCAAGTTTGACCTGTTCCAAGCAACAGACTCACTATTTCAATATCAACAATATATAATTTTATTTATAACCTCTATAGTATTCAAATTATTAACAAATTTAAAATATATATATAATAACAAATATAGTAACCTAATTGCTTTTTGAATCAAGCTTTTGTTAAAACTTTTTATATATAAGAAAATCTTTATTGATTATATTTTAATTAATATTCAAATTCTTACTGTTTATAAAATAAAACTTGTATTGAAAACATATAACATATATTTAAATGCTTAATAACATTAGAAAAGATTAATTGAATTATCAAATAGAATAATTTTATTTTCAATC